GCTACTAATCAGCCTCTCGAACGCCGCACAGTCGCTTTCCAGTTCCACGCGCAGCGACGGCACGCGCGGCGGAAGTCGGCGCTGAATTAGCTTCACGTGTGTTCTGCTCGCGGGAGGGGAGCAAGAGCGAGAGAGTTGGTGCGGGAGCTGGAGGGTGTTGGAGCGATAGGGGGTGCGGGAGCGGGAGGGCGTGCGAGGGCGTGCGAGAGCGGGAGAGGGAGGGGGGGGATGAATAATGTGTGTATAAGACAGCGCTCGCAGTGGCAGCACCGATAGCGTGGATTTATGGTGCCGCAGTAAATTCATTGCAGCTCCAAGATAACGGTGGGAGAGGGGAAGGGGGGAGTTGGCGAACTCGCGTACTCTGCGGTGAGCCACCAGTTCGTCGCTCGATACGTGAACTATTCGCGGATGTGCGGATACAACTACACACACACACACACACACACACACACACGCGCGCGCGCACGCAGACACACACACACACACACACAACACACACGCAGACACGCACACACACGCATACACAAACACAGACATACACACACACACACACACACACACACACACACACACACACACTACCACACACACACACACACACACAACACACACACCACACACACACGCAGACACACAGACACACACACACACACACACACATCGTGCCGTGACTACGATGCCGCCGAGAGCCGTATCGAGTTTACAACATCGCGCGGCGATTCACAAATTCGTCGTCGTTACGGGTGGTGTGTGTGTGTGTTGTGTGTGTGCTGGTGTGTGTGTGTGTGTGTGCGTGCGTGCCGTGCGTGTGGGTGTGGTGTGTGTGCGCGCGTGCGTGTAAGGGTGTGCGCGTTTCGTGTCGGTATACGTGCGTGTATGGTGTTGTTTGTGCGTGTGTGTTCGTGCGGTGTGCGCGCGGCTGTGTGTGCGTACATGCGTGCGTGCGGGTGTTTGTGTGTGTGCGTGCGTGCGTATGTGTTTGTGCGTGCGTGTGTGTTTGTTCTGTGTGTGTCGTGCGTGTGCGCGCGGCTGTGTGTGCGTACATGCGTGCGTGTGCTTGTGTGTGTGTTTGTGCGTGCGTGTGTGTTTGTGCGTGCGTGTGTTCGTGCGTGTGCGCGCGGCTGTGTGTGCGTACATGCGCGCGTGTGTCGTGTGCGTACATGCGCGCGTGTGTTTTGTGTGGTGTGTGCATGCGTGCGTGCGTTGTGTGTGGTGTGTGTGTGTGGTGTGTGTGTGTGTGTGTGTGTGTGTGTGTGTGTGTGTGTGTGTGTGAGCTCTCTCACCGCTCGCAATACATCACGCTCCGAGTGGCCGGCTGCCAGCGTCTGCCTATACGTTTCCCTGTGATAAACACACACGTCTTGCGTGTGCAAAGCCGAACACGGATCGGCAAATAAAACTCTAAACGTTCGAACAAATGCCGAAAGCCGTTGTGCAAACGTACGAAAAATTTGCTGACAAACAAACACGACGGTGTTTAATATCCATGTATACGCGGATGTGTGTACCCTAGTCGTGCCGACGCGCCGACGCCGTCTCGTGACGAGAAGCGACGATCGAGATAGGTCAGGATAGAGCAAGGGGGCTCTATCCGCGAGCCTGCGGCTAGTTGATTTCATTCCTGTCGTAGAGCGCGAACAAAACGCAACCTTGAGGGAAGCATTCTTGTGGAAAACGCACGCAGAATTTTATCAGGACAGCGCTGCCGCTGCCGCGTACGATCTTACGCGCGCTCGCTCGGTAAGTTTAGTGGCTCCTACAATTAATTTCAGGATTCGTCCGGCACGGGACCGACGTTGCGGCGGGGGGAGGCGGGAGTGGGTGGGCTACCGTGCACGCGCACGCACCGCGGCGGGAGCAGCAGCCGTGAGGCACATCGTTTAAGGCGCCGCGCTTCAAGTTATAGAATCCCACACGGCTGTGCCAAGGCCAGCCCATACGTGCAAAGCCAGCTAATTTACTCTCGACTGCTGTCAACCGCGTCGTATTTTAGCAACTGAACGAGCGCCCGCCCTAGAGCAGCACGTCATGCCATTACCCCACAAGCGCCATGCTACCTGTCTTGTAGCGGCTCTATTACCAGCGAAAAATGTCTTAATTCGGCTGCCGGCGAGGCCCCAAGAAGTCGACCTTAATTGGCAGCAGCGCGTGATACCCCCCGAACAGGTGTAGGCAGGTATGAGCGACAATTACGGGGAGACCCGGTCTCCGCTTGTGCGTGTTACGGCTGTCGTTTAATTAACTTAGCGGCCGCGCGCTTGGCTAGTTGTCAACGCACACACGCGTGCGTTTTCACGTCTCTCGGATTACTACGGGCGCTTTTCGGTTCGTAATTGCTCCGAACTCTCGACCCGGACCCCAAACAGGCTCTTCGCCGTACGGTCATCGCCGGTGGTCAGTGCCGCTCCGACGCTGACCGATTGGCGTGCGACCGCGGCGCTTGTACGGCGGTTAGTCGTCGGCTCGCGTCGGTCGGCGGGGCAGCCGCGGCGGGACATGTGCCAGTCACCTGCAGGCCGTCGTTAGCTGACAATCACCGCACGATGGCTGTACGCGACCCGCCGACTGATTGCCATTGTGAGCCGGTGGTCCCCCCACCCCCCCACACACACTAAATGTAATTGTTCTACCAACTAACTAGGGGACATTTGCGTGTAAGGAGTGGGAGGGGGAGTTGTGATACTGATACCCGACGGACTGCAATTGTTTTACCAACCGGGGAACACGTGTGTGTGTGTGTGAGGAGGGGGTTGTGCGACGGGTGTACCCCACTAACTGCAATTGTTTTATTACCCGCGGAACACTTGTGTGCGTGTGTGAGGGGAGACGGATACGTTCTTTATAGCGAACGCGCTCGTTGCTACAAGCACGCGTATTTTCTCACTCTTGCAGGCAGACAGACCACTGATCGATCAGTTCTTGCTGGCCAGTATAGACTCGTTCGCTCTCAAGGCTAGTCGCAGAGAAAGCGCCTCACTCGTCGACGAGTTCTTCAACGACGACGAGGACGACGAGGACGACGACGACGAGGAGGAGGAGTTCGAGGAGACGAGTTCCCGTAACGTCTACGCAAAGCAGTCGACCGCAGAGGGTGGCGCCACCTGCCGCAAGCTGTCGCACTTCGAACCGTCGGAGAGCCTGACGCGGACGGTGCTGACGAAATCTCTGCGACACCCGCCGACGGAAGTGCGCAAGCCGTCGCCGCCGATCGGCGCAAAGGACGACGCCGACGTCTGCGCGAAAGCCGACGAGATGAACATTCAGAACGTGTGGGAGGCCATCCGGCAGTCGTCGGAGGCGATCGATGACATTAAGCTATTCGGCGAGTTCGGAAAGCCGGTGATGGTGAAGATGGAACCGAACGAGAACGTGTCGCCGTGCAGCGTCGACTCGACGACGATGGCGCTGCCACCTTGCGGCTACCCGCTGAATCAGGCCGTCGCGCAGAGCTACGACTTTCCGGGCGAGTTCCGCCTTCCACCGCTGCGCGACGCTCTTCTGAACGACGTGAAACTCTCGCAGATACAGTTGGAGCCGATGGGCATTAACCCTTTCCACGCGTACCAGCAGCAGCAGCAGCAGCAGCAGCATCAGCAGACGCTGCCGGGCGCCGAGAGTCTCTTTCAGACGAAAGTCAAATCGGAACTTGTCGATTTAGGCGGCTGGCTGTGCAATCCTCCGCCGGCGTACCCGCTGACGCCGCCCGAGTCGCAGCCGAACAGTCCCGACCTCGCCATCTCCATGGTGCCGCGTCACACGCCGCCGCCTCCCTACACGATGGCGGCGAACTCTGGCGGCTACTCGATGTCGTCGGCGTCGGACTGCTGCATCGTCAGCTCGTCGACGACCGACGCGCTGCTGGAGAGCCGACTGCGGGAGTGCACGACGATTCGCTACAACCGACGCAACAATCCCGAGCTGGAGAAGCGACGCATACACTTCTGTGACTTCCCTGGATGTAGGAAGGCCTACACGAAGAGCTCTCATTTGAAAGCGCACCAAAGAATACATACAGGTAACTAATTGTGCATTTGATGAACAGCTAAGCTATGTACGACCATGTGCGTAGGTGTGCGAAAGATTCCATGATATCAGGGGTTAATAATAACACAACACGCACGCATACTGTATTACTCATACACATTCATTATATATGAGAGCGAGAGAGAGCGAGCAAGAGCGAGAAGTAGAGTAACACACGGGCACACATGAAGTATATGTGAAAATGTATAAATGTTATATATGAGTAGTAAAAATCTATGGCTTGTTGAAAGGCCTGCGCTAATCTTAAGTATCTTGTCAAGGTATTAGCTTAGTGCGAACTAACACGGTCATCTCTCTAGCTGTAGTATGTACGCCGTCGCAGATATACGCGCGGGAACTCAGATATAGGACACGTGATGTGTCCGCAGGGACGTTGACACCGACGCTATCGCTGCGACGTGACCCCGCATTAAAATACGACGATAAATGATCGTGACACACACGCATGCGCGCTCGCTGCTCTCGCACGCCCAGCGGTAGAGCCTGGCATCGCCGTCCGGACGCGTGTATTATGGAATGGAAACGCAGCAGCAGAGGCTATATGATTTACATTGAGGGAAGTCGCTTTCTTTCTCACTTTTCATCCGTTTCTCTATCTCTCTCTCTCTCTCTCTTTCGCTCTCTCGCTCTCTCTCTCTCTCTCTCTCTCTCTCTCTCTCTCTCTCTCTTGCCGCTTTTATACTGCGCACGACTTTAGCCCGCTTCTGAGCGGGATAACTTTAGCTCGGGAAATTCGTTTTATACTGCTGAAGCGGATAACCTTTATCTCGGATAAGTCGTTTATTACTGCGCACGACTTAGCCCGCTTCTGAACGGGATAGCTTTGCTCGGGATAAGTTCGTTTTATACTGTGAGCTAAGAGCGACTTAGAGCGAGCTAAAGTCGAGATACCTTTTATACTGACGTTAGCTCGGGCTGAAGGCGACCTGAACCACCTCTAGGTGGAATAACTTTAGCTCGGGCTAAATGTTTTTCGACCTTTTATACTGTGGTTTATCCCGCTTCAGGTCCGGACCTGAAGCGGGATAACCACCAGTATAAGGGGTATTTTGTAACTGAATTTAGAGCGAGCTAAAGTCGAAATCCTTTATACTGACGTTAGCTCGGTCTGAAGCGGACCTGAACCACCCCCTAGAGCGGGATAACTTTAGCTCGGGCTAAGTATGGTTCGACCTTTTAACTGGGGGTTATCCGCTTCAGCGTCCGGACCTGAAGCGGGATAAACCCAGTATAAGCGGCATCTGTCTCTGTCTCTGTCTCCGTCTCTCGTCTCTGTCTCTGTCTCTGTCCTGTCTCTGTCTCTGCTCTGCTCTCTCTCTCTCTCTCTCTCTCTCTCTCTCTGTGTGTGTCTCTCTTTCTCCTCTCACGCTCTCTTCCCATCTCTCTCTCTCCCCTCTCTCTTTGAATATATATATATTATATATATATTTATATATATAATATATATATATATATCGCTCCCTCCCTCTCCGCGCCGCGCAAGTCGTTTGTCAGTGCTATCGGAGATCGCCTCGGGTGTCATATATACGATCCAGACGCGATAATATAATACATATATCAAGCGCGTACGCACGTACAGCGCGAATAAATGATTTATACACGACTCCAATATAGCATTGCCGAATCAAGGCGCCGGGCTCATATAATAACGATTCTAGTCGCCCACCCCCCACCACCCGACGGCGTGTGATTTTTTTCGCTACAGCGCCCTTGCCAGCACCAGTCTTGTTGCCAGCACCAACGGCCTACGTGAGCTTCTATACGTATTAAATTCAACGTCGTCTCGCAATAGATTCGGTCGGGCTGGCGCTAACAAGGAAAGGTGCTTTGCGTCGTAGCGGGAAAAAGCAGACGAAACGATCGTCACGTCGGTGTCGAATTTGTCTGTTGAGTGAGAGTTTGGTGGCGACGGCGTACGCGGGGTTCGTAGAGATGCGAGCGTGCAGACAACACGTTGTAGTGGGCGCTGTATGCCACCCCGGTGTGGGATTGAGAGAGATACAGCACGCGTATGAATATAGCAGTACACTGTCTAATAAGTCTACACTTACATAGTACAACAATGCTATATTAGTAGACAATATATATATATATATATATAATTATATTCTTCTCAAATATACAGAGGATAAGAATACTAGACTTTCAGCGTACAGTAAGACTACATTTACAGAGTACGGGAAGATTACACTTACAGAGAGCAATGACACTCTATATATTTATAGAGTACAATAAAACTGCACGCGTCTGCGATGCGAGTCGATCGCTGGTCATGGGAAGATGATGGGTTTCTAGGAAGCGCTTTATATGCGCGCCGCGAACGACGATGCATTCTGATCAGTCAAGTAGTAGCTACATCGTAGTAGTAGCTACGTTTCGCGAAACGACGGGGTTACTGATTGCTCGCCGTTTAAAATTTACGCGAATATGGAACTTATTGTCAAACACCAATCTGAAAAAAAGTGCAGAACGTGTTTTTCCCTTCGGGGCTCAGAACGAAGTGGTTCAAGTTAAATGCAGAAAAGCCGTGCTTCAATGCGTGAGGTGTGACACACATGTGTCACATAGCAACGAGATGCTACCTAATTTCCTATTCTCAGACGCTCGTTCTACTCTGTGAATGTTCACGCAATCAGCAAGCGTATCTGCATGACATCGTGCAGTATCAACGCGCCTATCGCAAACGGAAGCGAAACCGATGTTACAACCACCGAGATTCTGGATCTTGCACGTAAATAGGAAATTCAGAGGACGTTAAAGTAAAGCAAATGTGCTTGTGTCTTATAGGCGGGTTGATGCTCTACGCTGTCAGATATTTTTGTCGACTGTGTGAACATTCACCAGAGAGACGTACGAGCGTCTGAGAATTGAAAAAACGTGAATATATATATATATATATAGTAGAAAAGTCCTTTGGTTGCACGATATCCAACATTTAGTTTTACACAAGCGCTTTCATCTTTATAGAATCTTCAGGTGCATGACTGCGAATATGTGTATATATATATATATATATATATATATATATATATATATATATATATATATATATATATATATATATATATATAGTCGCGTGAAAACGCTAACTGTTATATAGACGTCATGTTTATTAGTTTGGACAAATGGAGAGCGTTTATTGGTGCAGCAAGAGACCTTGACGGCTGTTCAGCGACATGCGCGAAACGCTCATATCAGGCACTGATCCTATCTACGGGACACGCTTATACTTTACACGCTTGCATGCAGCACGGCTGAATGTCGACACCGTGCTATTTACAATCACCGTCGGGTTTAGGTTATGCGTGCTCGTCGACAGGTATTGCGCATTTAAATGTTTGAACTTTAAAAGGCGTTATCTATGAGCAAATAGGATTCCGTCGCGATCTTACTGAGATAGTGATGCGCCACATGGCTGGCCGTGGTAGTTGTAAGGCGACGCGGGTATAGGCGCGATGATGTTTAAAAGTAACTCGGTAAAGGTTGAGAATTAACGAACAACATATTAATCTTCTTCGATAAAACACAGGAAATTCGGGTTCAGAGGTCCCTCATTGAAACAGTCAATAATGGCACAGAATCAAGTCTGGGTCGGTTGCATAATAAATGTAAATTTACACGAGATAAATTGAGGGTGATTAAGAATCACGCGCACGAGTTATAGTTTGATACCGATCTTTGGCAAGAATAATCAGCTGTGCATATCGTATATAGGCAGCTAGGGGCGTCGCCGACCGCCAGTTTAGATCTGCAATCTGATCCAACCAACGTCAGTGTAACGTTCTACATATTATACGCATTGCATACGTTTTCCCACCCGGTGCTTGCATAATACAAGAATTTACACAATCCAATGCAAGCAAACAATCCCAAGTACTAAGATTTTCTGAGTAACGGTGAATGTACATTATGGCATATTAAAACCCGCGGCCATGAATTCCATGCGGCTGTGACATGGGGAACTGGTGTGACCTTGCTTCGTGCTTCTTGCGTTTCATTATATGTCTGCGTAGCGAAGATGTAGCTTCTTGCGTTTCATATGGTTTCAGCGCACATGACGAATATAGGATCACGCGATGCATATACGTGATTTTTTGACATATATATTTACTGCGTGAATGTCAGTTATAGACTCTGTACGTTAGATTTTACATTTTGCAATACTCGGTAAACCGTGGTTAAACACACAACACACACACACACACACACGCGCGCGCGCACACGCACACGCACACGCGCACACACACACACACACACACACACACACACACACACACACACACACACACAGTGTGTTGTTGTGTGTGTGTGTGTGTGTGTGTGTGTGTGTGTGTAGTACGTACTACTACTACTACTACTACCGTAGAACGAAGAACGTACGACTATTAGT